TAACCCTCCTGTATTCCTTCTTTAGGCGTGTTTCCGTTTAGGAAGTGCTTTAAATCTCTTTCCCAGAGATTTTTTTTAAAAAGAGGCATTAGCTTTGCCCGCCAAGGCCCATACGGCTGCTACGAGCGCCAGCTCCAGGATTGCCGCAGTACAGTTAAGCAGCTTACGATCATAAAGCTTATTCTGACATGTCACTGGATTTTTTTTTGTTTCTCCCTTTTTTATCGGAGGTTATTATTATTTCGTCGTTCTACGTTACAGATACATTTACAAAACAATTGCGGGTTTTTCGGAACAACATCGGGGTGCTTGGCGTGTTTCGCTCCCGCTTCTGCTCCGCCATGCCAGCAGTAGTTTGGGCCGCGAGTGGCGAGTGCCCTACCCGTCTGGCGAAACTGACACCGGCTGTTAGCCTCCGTCTACCCACACGTGTACGCTTCTACCCACACTGTAAAAAATCGTCTATTACTACGGGACTGGTAACGGACATTCCGTTATAGCATATTTCAAAAAAGAGATACCGAAGAACCGTTTGAGTTCGACCATGTAACTAAAGTTAGGGTACGGACGTGTCCGAAAAATAATTGCCGCTTATATCCGTTAAATACGTGATACGGTTGCTCCGCACCCCAAAAATTAGGTACGGAACAACCCGGAACAACCGTTTTGCTTCGACCGTACAATTAAATTTAGGGTACGGACACGTCCGGAAAATAATTGCCGTTGATTTTCCGTTGTTTTTTCTTACAGTGCACAGGGGATTCTCGGCGTAGCCACGACCCGTGCCCGGTCCGCGAGTCTGTTATCAAGAAAGGTTTGACGAGAACGGGAAAGAAATAGTCTTGATGCACCGTAAAACAAAAGAACACTCTAAATGTAGCGGGACAATTTTATCCCTCAAAAGGCGACCTCTTCGTGCATATCCAGATCGGTTACTATTTTGTTCCTAAATCGGGAAAAAAACTTGATACATTTATTTTGTACCATTATTGTGTACACCTTGTTCACAATTTGTCCAGCTGCATGCGGTCTGGATGTGCACGAAAACATCTGCCTTTTAAGAAACAAAATACAACTCCTTCACGGTAAAAAAAAAAGTTTCTAGTACGTATTTTAAGAGACGATCTTGGATGATGGATCATCATCGTCATCATCATCATCATCATCATCATCATCATCATCATCCTGCCTTTCCCCTCCGAAGAAGCGTGGCCCATTTAAAATTGACTACGATCGCCATTTCCTTGTTCGCTCTCTCTGGACCGGACCGGAGGAGGGCGCTTTCTTTTATTCCGAGCGGGCCGGGCCGCTGGCCTAATGAGTGGCGCGGGAGAGAGAGAGAGAGAGAGAGAGAGAGAGAGAGAGAGGGGGGGGGGCAGAGTGGGGGGATAGAGCCATGGGGATAAAACGGACTCTGCCCTGCGCCTGGAGAAAACTCGACTCGGCTCGGCTAAATTAGAGGGGATGGTATCTGTATAAGCCGTACTTCCCTGGTACTCGTGGCAGGACCAGGCGAGTACAGTAGGGGCGGGCGACGAGCCCCACGCGCGTGGCCGGGGGAGGCAGGGCGAGAGAGGAGGAAGCAACACTGTAGCGCTGCTGCTGCTGCTGCTGCTGCTGCTGGGGGGTGACGACTCGAGCGTAACGCAGCAGGTTGTACGCGACCCAGACGGACCCGTCCGCCGTACACAGCAATTGTTTTATGGCGAAAGAGGACTT